ATGTTATTATCAAAAAATATAGTGGAATAAACTAAATTGGTAGATCAACTCGGGTACATTTAATCAGAAGTTTCAAGCTCAAGTATTAAAAATAAATAAATTGCTAGTAGGAAGTGTTTTTACGATAATTTGCGCCTCCTCATGGCCGGTTTGAGCACAAGCAGAAACACAGTGAAATGTTGCTTCTTTTTCACTTCACCTTTTGCGTTGACGTTTCGGTTAACTTTATTAAAATTCTGTTAGCCTTAGACTAAAACTGACTAACTTTGTAAACGTAAAGGACTATTAGTGTCTATGATTATAACATAAGGGACCAAATTACGTCTATCCCCATATTTAAAGGACTATATGTTATCTTTTTTCTCACATAAAGAGATTGCTCCACCAAGAGTATCGATGGCTGACAAAGAAATGGACGAAAATAGCTCAACACCAACTCTTCTGAACAGCAAAAACACAGTAATCTCCAAAGATTTGTCTGCAGAGTCAATTTCTAAGCTCAATGGATTCTTAAAAATTATGGGGGTCTTCAACCTTACTTTTCCTGCCCAGTATGATACTAAGGACTCTTTCTCTGAACTCACCCGTTGCTGCCTCAAGGTCCAACACATCCACCGTGGCAAGATTTCCTGTTTTCTCTCTGTTAAACCTCCTATAATGGTAAATAATAGTATAATTTTTTACTATTGGGTCTTTATTACATATGGTATTTGGTTGAAAAATTTGAGTCTTTTTTTAATATTGTTTCGGTTCCTATTTTCTTGAAATACGTCAGATGTTTGTATTACATGTTGTTTTAGCTTTTGGGATCCTTTTCCTTTTCAGCTTCTTTAGATTCCCAGTTCAGTAGAGGAAAGGATTTCTCTACTATTGTTATCCAAAATTGATTACTAGGAGTATTAATATAGATGATACCGCCTTGATCGGATTAAGAATTCTTATATTAGGTCCGGTGTTTTTGCAATTTAGAGGAGCTCTAACTTTAGAAACCCCTAATTTGTCTTAAAATAACTAATTATTCTCTAGTTTTGAAATGATTCACCCTAATGGAGCAAAATGATTACATAGGATTCATACCACCAATCCCAACTAGTTCTGGATTGAGCCATAGTTGATTGATCTATTGATGACAATGTTAGTTCCTAAATTTCTGAATGTTACTATCAAATCATAATTTATGGACAAAACATCCCCAAAGAGTGAATTCCTTAGTGATTGAGGTGTAGTTAATTGATTGATTAGTGCGTCGAAGACTATCCGTGTTCAAAATAAAGATTTTAATTTTTCTGGTGGGTGGACAGCAGCATCTGTTAAATGCTGACACTACTATGCCAGTATCTGATTTTCGATAGGTTAGGTATTGAATAGGATTGAGAAAGATGATGAGGTTAATGGGATCCTAGTTTTCTGGGGAAGGTGTATTAGAACAGAGACTGGTTGTATGGACATATTGGTTCTATTCAATGGCTTCAAAAAAATTGTCTATTCCGCATGTCTAATTATCTCAGTTCATTCTGTTTCATTTTTCATGGAGGGTTGGAAGTGTAAAGGGAGAGGTTAGGGGAGAGATATTATTTTGATGATATTTAAGTGAGACTTAAGGAGATACTTGAAGTTGAGAGGCTTCAGGACTTGCCTTTGGATTTTTGTTATCAGATAGCATATGCATTTTATTTAGCATGGCACTGATATTACCATTTGATCTATTCTGTCAAACGGAGTTTTACTCATTTACCTTGGTATTGAAACAACTGCTTCTATTCCACTTAATTGGCTAAGACGGGAAGCCTAAGAGTTTCATCTGTACTTTTATAGCATTGCCAGCCAAAACAAAAAGGGAAAAAGGGGGCAGGGTTGGGGGGGAGGATAAGATTCAAGAGGAAAAAAAAGAAGTGATTTCAAACCATTTCCATTGTTTAATAGACTTGGCATCTCTATCTGACCTCCTTCACGATCCATGTATACTTTCTACCTTGTGGAATGCTGCAGAGAAGTTTTACTGGATACAATTAACAACTCCCAAGTTGCATCATATACCATTGCATCAAGTGTATACTATGTTCTCTTTGGTATTTAGTTGTTTCTGACAAATTAAGAGTGCTGAAACACGTGGGTTTTTCCTTGCAGAATATCTATGGTTCACTGCACGGAGGAGCTGTTGGAGATGTAACAGTAAGGATAGCAACTGCCTGTGCCCGAACTATTGTTGGAAAGGATAAAGAGCTCTTTCTTGGAGAATTGAGCATATCTTATCTCTCTGGTGCTCCTCGAAATGTGAGTCTCGTGGTATTTGTTTTTTCCTGTCAGCGTTCTCTGTGTTAACGCAATGCTTGTAGTTTAAGCATCAAGGAAGATCATATCGAGATTTCTATGGGGTTCAACTTTTGTTTACACCTGTGACCTGCCACAGTGCTGAGTGTTTCTGAATCTCCTTACAATTTTATAAAAACTGCACAGGTGTTATTTGTTAACAGCAAACATGGCGAACCCCTGTAGAAATATTGGATGAGTAGGGACATGGCTGTCATGTTGAATTATCTTGTTTTACCATTCTATTTGCTTGCTGAGATCTGAAAATATATTTGTCAACAGAACAAGTTAGTTACTGTCTGCAATATTTCATTTCTTGTTGTATAATCCGCGTCCTGCCTTTTCTCTAATTATCCTCCTTTTGTATTGGAGGTACCCACAGGCAGAAGTAATAGTTAATGCAACCGTTATTAGAAGTGGAAGAAACTTGACTGTAGTTGCAGTGGATTTTAGACTTAAGGATTCTGAGAAACTGAGTTACATCTCTCATGCAACGTTCTATCACATGCCTGTAGCAAGTTTATGAACTAGACTTGATCCAACACATTAAGTCAAGACATCCTGGTACGTGTGTTCTTCAATATGTCTCCTGAAACTTTTCTGACCTCCCAATGTGCAAAGTTGCCTATTTTTTTTACTGAATCTAGTTATAGTAAGTAGTTTCCAGGTATCTGATAATGCCAATCCAATTTCTTCTCATTGACAAGGTTTGGAGCTGAACAACATTACTTAGCTACTCAAATTGTTTATTGAAGAACTTCTAACTTGAGGAGTTTACTCAGATTAAAGCATACTATTTTTTTAACCTACCCTGATGACCTTAATCAGCTCGGTTCCAAAACTTATGTTTCGTTTGCTGTTGTTCACATGTAATTGTATTCTGGTGTTCAACAACCCTTTTAACACCTTAAAAGTAATGATATGTATTTAAACATTTTGCACTCGCATGTACTTTTCTTTTATATAAAGTACCTAAGCAAAATCTCTCTGTCTACAAAACAGGTTGAAGTCACAACGTTGAGGGCTTACAAGAGTTTCACGATTTTATCAGAACTGGGAAAAGTTCAGCTGTGTTGCTGGAGCAAAAGATATTTCTGTTTCCCTGTTTGCGGTGCTTAGAAACGATTGTGTAAATAAAGTTGTGTGCCAAATAGTGATAATCTGTGGGCAGAGGCAGATAACTGATGGCATCATAGTCCTGTTACAAACTCAGTAATGCAATAACACTCTTGTTGAGAACTGAGCATTGACAAGCAAAAGGTCCAAAGACAATTTCAGTTAAACATCTTAACCAGCATTTTCAGCATTTGTTCTTAAAAAGAGCTGGAAAACCAATTTGAAAAATTACCTTTAAGAATTGCAAAAAAATTGAATTCCGAAATCTTCAAAGTTTTTCTATCCTTTTTGCGCAATATAAAAATCAAACAATTTGAAACATGAGTTTGAAAAGCCAGCATGGTATCAGAGGCGGATCCAGGATTTAAATCTTATGTTGCAACTTTTAAGTATTTTAGTATTGAATCCATTATATTGTTAAAGTTATGGGTTCATATCTAATACTCCCTCCGTTCCAGTTTATGTGAACATTTCCTTTTTGGTCCGTTCTAAAAAAAAATCTCTTTTTAAATTTGGAAACAATTTAGTTTAAACTTACAATTCTACCATTAATATGAAGTTTTTATAACCACACAAATACTCTGGCCCTTTTTTTTGATTTGTTTAGGAATACAAATTTCAAAAGTCTTTATTTTTTCTTAAATTTCGTGTCCAATCAAACATGTTCATATAAATTGAAACGGAGGGAGTAGTATTTTTATAATTTTAATGAATTTTTACTTTGCGTTGAAAAATTATGGATTCAATTGAACTCGTCGAATTAACGCCACATTAGCCATGACTGTTGTAATATGGACATGGGATCTATCGCTCTAAGGGGATCAGAAGGAAATTGGTGAAGAGAAAAAGGCTACCGAATGTGTTTAGCCATAAAGCCAATTTATTATTACTGATTAAGCATGATGTCAGGCCACGAGGGTTCCAAGCCAAGTTAGTCAATTAATTGGTGTACCCATATAATTGGTGTAAAACTTAGAATAGTTGATGCTCGCCTTATTTTACTCTCCTTGCCTTCCAAATTAATAGTCTTGCCAAGTTTCTTTTTAGTTAAAAGTGTTTTTGCATTTTCTTTTGAATGTTATTTTTTACTCCCTCCGTTCTAATTTATCTGAACATGTTTGATTGGACAAGAAATTTAAAAAAAATTGGAAATTTTTTAAATTTGTGGTCCTAAACAAGTCAAAAAGGGGTCCAGAATATTTGTGTGGTTATAAAAGCATCTCATTAAGAATAAAATTGGAAGTTTAAACTAAATTGTTTCCAAATTTAGAAAGAGGTCATTCTTTTTGGAACGGATCAAAAAGGAAATATGTTTACATAAACCGGAACGGAGGGAGTTAAAGTTAAAGTGTTTGGCCAAATTTTTAGAAGGACAAAAATATTTTTGAGTAGAAGCCAAAAAAGGATTTTGAAAACAATACACTTAAAAGTATTTTTTAAAATCATGGCCAAATATTAATTGGTGTTCAAAAATACTGTTTAAATTAAAAATGCTTCCCCTAAAATAAAATAAATATATATTTTTGGGCTATAAGTACGGTGAAAAAGAGGTCAATGAAATGAATAGATAGTCAGAATTTTAGTATTCTTAAACATACGTTTGAAATTTGTTGATGAGATAGCAAAAATCTTTATGAGAGCGGGAGTTGGTGGGCAGAGAGTGAAGAAAGCAAAAGAGATGGGGGAAGAAAGTTCAAAACCCAACGATTTCTACACAAAAGACACAATTATCTCCGAAGAATTATCAGAGGAGGCGGCTTCGTTTGTGGATCATATCTTCCGCCATGTGTCACTCAACGCACCCAACTTTCCGCCCCAACATGATGCTAAAGACTCCTTCTCTGAACTAACTCGCGGCTGCCTCAAAGTCCATAGCATCCACCCTGGGAAAGTCTCCTGCATTCTTTCTGTCAAACCTGCTATCTCGGTATTTCATTTCTAAAGTTTCAACTTTTATAGCATCTTTTTTCTCTTTTCTTTTCAGAAGATGGAATCTTCAATTTTATTCAGTTTTGGGTTAAGTTCTAGGAAAAACCCTTACAAAATTGTAGCTTCCCAGTTCAATGGAATAAAGAATTTCGCAAATTATTGGAAGGGTTGAGAGCATTGACATTCTGGGGTGCATAAAGCATACACCTCTTTATACAATTTATTGAGGTATTGAAGGATCATCCTGTTTGGAACTTATATATTAGTTGCTTCAGTCTGCTTTTTTTTTTTCGGGGTGGGGGAGTGGGGGTGAGGGGGTAGAGGATTACTGAGAATGTCTGGTTGAAGCTACCCTAATAAGAATATAAACACCACATACAACTCTCTCATTTTTTCCCCTCCGAAATTGCGGACATATAGGTGAGGTTGTAACGAACAGGACAAGAAGAAAAGGAATAAAAATTTAACAAGGAAAAGGATAAAATTTTGGTAATTCCAATGATAGTAAATTCTGTTACAGCCCAGAATCTAAATAGGCAACGTTTCTATTGAACAACTGTCCTTAATTTCTACAGACCAAGAACCTTCTAGAATAAAGCCACGTGGCTATTAATTGCAAACCTGTCCCTAGGGACTTAATTGAAATAAACTAAACTTACAGACCAGAATAGAGATACCATGACTCTAATAAAAATAGACGACCAACTGCTCACTTCTATTTCCTATATTTGACTGCTTGTTCGTTACAATTCCTTCCTCCTTCAAAGAACCTTGATCCTTCAAGGTTTAAATTCTGGAAATTGCGACTTCAGAAAATTATAATCCTCCCAAGTAGCTTCTTCAGGAGATAAATTTGCCCACTGGACCAACACTTTGGCAGCAGCTCGATTTCCTTTCTTTACCATTCTGCGTTCCAGGATTGCCACTGGTTCAACTCTGATTTGGCCATTATCGGAACAATATGGAGGATCAATGGATGGTACTATTCTGTCGCCCACCTTCTTTTTAAGCTGAGAGACATGGAAGACGGGATGGATACGTGATCCTGGTGGCAATTCTAGTTCGTATGCAACAGCCCCAATTTTTCGAATCACCTTATATGGTCCATAGAACTTTGCTGCAAGCTTCAAACTTTTCCGCACAACTACAGATATTTGACGGTATGGTTGAAGCTTTAAATACACCATATCCCCAACTTCAAAACTCCTTTCGCTCCTTTTTGAATCAGCTTGCTGCTTCATCCTTGATTGAGCCTTCAACAGATTCTCCCTTAAGGCCTTTACCATCAACTGGCGATTCTTCAACATTTGATCTACAGATTCGACCTTGGATTGGCAAATCAATTCAAATGTGGGCAATGGTGGATCATACCCATATAGTGCCTTAAATGGTGTCATACCAATCGTTGAATGGAAATTGGTGTTATACCAAAATTCGGCTAAAGGCAGCCATTTACTCCAATCCGTTGGTTTGTGGCCGGTCATACAACGGAGGTAAGTCTCTAAGCACCTATTCAACCTCTCAGATTGACCATCCGACTGAGGATGATAAGCACTGCTGAACCTCAATTTCACCTGTAACTGACTGAATAATTCCTTCCAAAAGAAACTAGTAAAGAGAGGATCTCTGTCGGACACAATTGAACAAGGAACCCCATGAAGCTTACAAATGTTGTCAACAAAAACTTGAGCTATTTGTGAGGCCGAATAAGGATGAGTAAGTGCAAAGAAATGGGAATACTTGGTGTACCTGTCAATCACAACCAAGATCACTTCCTTCCCCTGGGATTTAGGTAAGCCCTCGATAAAGTCCATAGCAAGATGTTCCCAAGCTTTCTCTGGTAATGGTAATGGCTGGAGCAGGCCTGGGTAGGCCACCTGTTCTCCTTTATTCCTTTGGCAAACTTCACACGTTTGAACATAGCTTTTGACATCCTTAGCTAATGAAGGCCAGTGAAACAATGCCCTCAGTCTCTGTTGAGTTGCGTAAATTCCAGAATGCCCACCCCAAGAAGTATCATGCATAGAATGGATCAGCTTCCCTCTAAGTTCTCCCTGATTGCCCACCCAAACCTTACCATTGAAACGTATAATCCCTTGTTGCAGAGTAAAATTTGGCAAGGCATTAGGATCTACTTGTAATTTAGTCAGCATCTTTTGGGCCTCCTCATCATTATTATAACTATTAAGAACTTCTTGAACCAATGCAGGCTGCACCACTGTAAGCCCATTACAGATAGCCTGGGTCTCGAACCTTCTTGAGAGAGCATCAACTGCTAAGTTTCAGCTCCTTTTTTGTATTGGATTTCGTAGCTTAGGCCCAACAGCTTAGTAATCCCTTTCTGTTGTAAGGATGTAGTAATACGCTGCTCACTCAAATATTTCAAGCTAAAGTGATCAGTTTTGATCACAAAATGATTTGATTGCAAGTAATGGCGCCACTTTTCCACTGCCATCAAAAGAGCAATTAATTCTTTCTCATAAGTGGAAAGTCCCAAATGTCGAGGACTAAGGGCCTGACTCAAGAATGCAATAGGTCTGCCATTTTGGGAAAGCACAGCCCCAACTCCCAATCCAGATGCGTCTACTTCAACGACAAAAGGCTCACTGAAGTTTGGCAATGCAAGAACAGGGGCTTGGGTCATCGCAGTCTTCAACTCTTCAAAGGATTTAGTAGAATTTTCGTTCCATTCAAAGGCTCCTTTCTTAAGTAAATGAGTCAAAGGCTGACTGATTAAAGCAAAGTTCTTAATGAACCTTCGATAGTAGCCCGTTAATCCCAAAAAAACCCTTAACTCTTTGATAGACTTGGGCGGAGGCCTGTTAATCATAGCTGCTACCTTGGCCCTATCTGTTCTCACCCCTTTACCAGAAATAACATGGCCCAGATACTCTATACTGGCCTGAGCAAACCTGCACTTTGATTGTTTAGCAAATAACCTGTTAGCCCTCAGGACATCAAACACAATTTGTAGATGATTCACATGATCTTCCAGTGACACACTATAAATTAATATGTCATCGAAGAAGACTAAAACAAACTTCCGCAAATATGGGCCAAAAACAGTGTGCATAAGGGCTTGAAATGTTGCCGGTGCATTTGTCAGTCCAAAAGGCATCACTCTAAACTCCCATAACCCATGGTGAGTTTTAAAAGCAGTTTTATACTCATCCCCTTACTTCATACGTACTTGGTGATAGCCTGAACGAAGGTCCAATTTAGAGTAATACTGAGCTCCCGACAATTCGTCCAATAAGTCCTCAACCACTGGTATTGGGTACTTATTCTTAATTGTGGCCTCATTTAGCTTCCTATAATCCACACACATGCGCCAAGTATCATCTTTTTTCTTAACAAGAATGACTGGCGAGGCAAAGGGTGACGAACTAGGGGTGACTGTTTGAGCTTCCAGCATCTCATTAACTATTTTCTCAATGGCATTCTTTTGTTCAAAAGAATACCTATATGGCATCAAATTAACTGGTTTAGTTCCAGGAACTAACACAACTGAATGATCACAATCCCTAGAAGGGGGCAGTTTTGTGGGCTCCTTGAAAATGTCACCATAGTTTTGAATTAATTCCTCCACCGGAATTGGCATCTGCACCACCTCTTTACTGTCCTCCAAAGAACACCACAATCCCACATAATTATCAATCCCTTCACTTAGTAATTTGTGGAATGCCTTGGCCGCCACCTCAACATCACTGAAAGAGTTCTGATTGCCTAACAAGGTAATCAGCTTAGCATCCTTTATAAAAGAAATGCGGCCTGGTATGCAGTAAAATTGGTGTCGATGAATCCAACCAATCTATCCCCAACACAATGTCACAACCTCCAGCTCTTAATACTCTAAGATCAAATTCAAAGAGTTCACCATGCATCTCCCATTTAAAACCTCTACAAATCTACCCACACCTCATAGTTTGCCTGTTTGCTACTCGAACAATCATGCTCCTTTTGATGGGCTCGGCCGTTAAACCCAAGTGCTTAATTAGCCAAGGATCCACGAAACTATGAGTTGCTCCACTATCTATTAACACTGTAACATGCTTTTTTTTTTACCATTCCCGAGATTCGGATAGTAGTGTGACGAGAATCAGAATGACCCCATATGGTTTTATTACTGCCTCTTCAGGACCTCCTGTCTCAACTGGATCTCCCTGGGCTTCGAAAAATTCTTCTTCTTCCGACCCCTCCAGACTATTCAATGCCTTGGTCTTGCACTGATGTCCCAGGAAATACCTCTACTTACATCGAAAACATAACTTCTTCTCAAGTAACTCCTCTAAGGTTTGATTTCTGGAGGTTGAGGCCCTAGTGTTTATAGGAGGAAGGGCCTTCAAGGGTATGTTATGAGAGGTGTTGTGAGGGGTATTAGTGATGGCTAAAGGAGCATTGTGAGGGGTATTTGTGATGGCTAAGGGGGCATGAGTATTGGATCGAGGGCTTGGAGGAAAGGTGATTCTAGGCTGTGACGATGAAGATCTGGGCTGAAGGTTCCTATAAATTGAAGCAAGGGTCTTCTCGTGTAACTTAGCAATTTCAAAAGCTGCTAACATGGCTAAAGGAGCATTGTGAGGGGTATTTGTGATGGCTAAGGGGGCATGAGTATTGGATCGAGGGCTTGGAGGAAAGGTGATTCTAGGCTGTGACGATGAAGATCTGGGCTGAAGGTTCCTATAAATTGAAGCAAGGGTCTTCTCGTGTAACTTAGCAATTTCAAAAGCTGCTAACATAGTTTGAGGATCGGAAGCCCTCACCAGTGATTGTAAATCAGGTTTCAATCCTCCAATAAAACAGTAAACAAAATAAATTTCAGTGAGTGTGGGATTGATCAGTAACACATAGAAACGCATTTCTTCAAACTTGTTGAAGAAACTCTCAACATCGGCCCACTGTTGTAGCCTATTAAATTCCATAACCACGTCCATTGGCCTTATGTTACCATACCTACGACAAACATCCAAGCAAAACTTTTCCCAAGTTACTACACCCCCATTCTCCATGACATACACATCAAACCAAGTGTCCAATTTATCTTTAATGTGTATAGCAACATAGGACATCCTGGATTCTGGAGCAATTTGGTACAGCTCAAAAAATCGTTCACATCTTCTTAACCACCCACGAGGATTATTGGTGTCAAACTCAGGAAAAGCCAGTTTAATTTTGGGTAATTTGTTTTGACTATGATTGTTGGCAGGTGTCAGGATATTGGGTTGAAAACTGGGCTGCACAATGGCTTGAAACAAAGAACCCGACCCTGGATTTTGGTGAGCATAAGGTTGGTTATAGGTTGAGTTTACAGGAGCTGCAGCAACAGAGGGTTGAAGTCGGTAGTTAAGCTGAGGTGTGGAGAAACTGGTGTGTATTGTGGGTTGAGCAAAAGAAGGAGGAGAGGAGTAGTTCATTGTGGTGGTGCTAGGTTGGAAAAGTGAAACAGGTGCTGGAGGATATAAAGAAGTGGGTGTATAGTGTGTTATAGGGATGGGAGCAGAGAAATTTGAAGGATTGAAGGGAGCTAACGATGTTGACATTACCCGACTGACTTGAGGAAGCATCGAGGTGTGTACGCTCGCCGGAGTGACCGGGGATGAAATTGGCTTTTGAAGTCCAACAACAGAGGACTCTCCCTTGTCCCCAATAGAACTTCCACCTTCCATGGCTAGTCGGGAACGCGCAAATACAGCTGATTCGCCTCTTTGCTCACCGTCCAAATGACCAAGCAGCGCTTCAAAACGACGATTGCTTTCTGCTTGTCGTTGAGTTGCTTCCGAGCTGATCCTAGCTTGGTTCAATTCGATCTGTTCTAGACGTTTCTGATTTTCTCCCATGTAAGCTTGAAGCTGAGCTTCAATACGCTTCCACCTTCATCGGTTTCTTTGAATTCTGGAGTTTCTACCATGATTGGAACTCACAGCCGCCGGAACGCCGGCTCTGATACCACTATTGTAACGAACAGGACAAGAAGAAAAGGAATAAAAATTTAACAAGAAAAAGGATAAAATTTTGGTAATTCCAATGATAGTAAATTCTGTTACAGCCTAGAATCTAAATAGGCAACGTTCCTATTGAACAACTGTCCTTAATTTCTACAGACCAAGAACCTTCTAGAATAAAGCCACGTGGCTATTAATTGCAAACATGTCCCTAGGGACTTAATTGAAATAAACTAAACTTACAGACCAGAATAGAGATACCATGACTCTAATAAAAATAGACGACCAACTGCTCACTTCTATTTCCTATATTTGACTGCTTGTTCGTTACAGAGGTTGAGCCTTAGAGCAAGGAGAAAGTTGCTCTTTTGATGACGTCTTCTTAACATGAGAGTCAAACCCTTTCCTAGTCTTGGATTACCCAATGTTGGATTATCATATTCATGTTATATAGTCCACGATTCAAATGTCTCATCCTGAGCTTGTGGAGATATTTAGAGTCGTATGTAGTTGAGGGTATAAGTTGTTGTCTCCTTGTATGGTTTTGGTCAATCTTTAACTCATGAGTTAACTTTTGGGGTTGAATTAGAGAAATATTGTATACGGAATGTCTGTTCTCTCTTTAAACCTGTACTAGCCAGGATCACTTCGTGGATAAGCCCTTTGAGTTGCAGACATATGGATATTTTTGGAATATTACATTCCAATAATTTTTGCAAGATAATAGAACAGTTATCTTTGATTTATATTTTTATCTTCTTCTAGTTGCTCTGCAAAGTTGGAGGGTGACCTCAGTCTTGAGTGTTGCACTTGATTCCTTTCTCTGCCATCTGATCTGCTCACCTTCATTGAGAGCTTGAGAGTAATAAGGATTGATGAAGATATTTTTTCATGCATAAGGGTCTAAAGGATGAAAAGAAATCAAAAATCATATCCCTTCTATGTTGATGCTTTCTCCAATTTCAATCAGATATCATCTCAGTGATCTCAACATGCACTTATGAAGTGTCAAATATTCTTGAGTAATGACGATAATGCAACCCCGTTATCTGTATTTTAGAATGTTTATCAAAGCATGCATGGAGGAGCAGTTGGAGCTGTGGCAGAGAGGGTGTCAATTGCATGCGCCAGAACTGTTGTGGGAAAGGATAAGGAACTCTTTCTTGGAGAACTGAGCATGTCATATGTATCTGCTGCTCCGAGCAACGTGAGTAGTAAAGCTTTCATTGAATGTCCTCTTACCTCAATGTGGCAATGTCAATGGGTTTTATTGTATAGGAATTTTGTAAGAGCAAATGCACATCATGTTGTGTACCCCTCCCCTCCCTCACCAACAAAAAACAAAAACAAAAAACAAAAAATCTCATTCTGTTATCTTTTCCTGATTGTATTGTCTCCTTTTGTGTTTTGAGTCGTTGCTAGTCAGAGGTGGTAGTAGATGGATCTGTCATTCGGAGTGGAAGGAACCTGACTGTAGTTGCAGTTGATTTTCGGCTCAAGGACTCACGGAAATTGGTTTATACCTCTAATGCAACATTCTATCACATGCCTGTTGCAAGTTTATGAGCTCAAACTCAACACATTAAGTAAATACATTTGCTAAAAGCGTTCAGCAGCTCCAGCTAATGTACAATGACAAATCATGGATACAGGCATCACTAGACGAATTTGAGACTGAGACTCTTTATCTGTATCACCACAGCAACATTTACATCTCGAATTATCTGAGATTCCCTCATTTTTCTTGTCTACACAATTGAAGCTCTGATTTATTGAAAGAGAATGAAGAGAACAGTCGTGTACATCAATCTTGTATTAGCTGTGTGTCCAATGAAACTCCAATTTAACTGCAGTGCTGTATTATTACTTATACTGCGACAATGACAAGGAGATACAACTCACATCCTCAATGGAATAAGAGAGGTCTAGACAAATAAAGGAGGCACTCTTGTTGTGAGAATACACAAGTTTTTAATTCTAACATTCTCATCTTATTTTGGAGTAACAACTCTTTGTAAGAATGAGAGGGCATTTTTGGTATGTTATTATATACCTTTAGTTTAAGATCACATGGCTAAAGAAAATAAAGCTGTATGATGGTTAGTGTGGTATATACCTCTAAATTTTACTCTCCCTAACTTCTAAATTTAGCATGATGGAGAATGATTAATGAAAGTTGTTTCTTAGATAACTAGAATTGGTAGTTTCTTCTTTAACAAACATTAAATTTGTCGATTAGATAGCAAAGTGCTTGGCTATATACCTCTATTAGTATGAGGATGGGTAGATAGTGAAGAAGGTAAAAGAGAGGGGTGAACAAAGTTTTAAACCCAACGATTTCTACACAAAAGACACAATCATCTCCGAAAAGTTATCAGAGGCGGCGGCTTCTTTGGTGCTAAGGACTCCTTCTCGGAACTCATTCGCGGCTGCCTCAAGGTCCACAGTATCTTCCCTGGGAAAATATCCTGCATTCTTTCTGTAAAACCTGCTATCTCCGTAAATTCATACAACACATTCTTCAAAGTTATATCTTTTATTGAATCTTCTTTTCCGAAGATGAGCTCTACGGTTTCATTGAATCTTAGTTATAATATTTTCTTGCATAAAGATCTAAACAAGTAAAAGAAAGTGAAGACAAAAATAAATGGTTTATTCGTATAATTGACCCCTAACGTGTTTTTTGAGACTGAGGCATAGTAGCTGTTATATTGAAAAATCACGTCCCTTCTATGTAATGCTTTCTCTAATTTCCATCAGAACATGCACTTCTGGAATGTGTAATAGTATTTTATGTACTGACCGTTATTGTAGAATGTTTATGGAGGAGCAGTTGGAGCTGTAGCAGAGAGGGTATCAATTGCCTGTGCCACAACTGTTGTGGGAAAGGATAAGGAACTTTTTCTTGGAGAATTGAGTATGCCTTATGTTTCTGCTGCTCCAAGCAATGTAAGTATTAAAGCTTTCATTTAAGCTCCTCTTATCTCAATCTCACTGGATTTTATAGGTATAAGAATTTGTACCACATTATGTGTACCCCTCCTCCCTTTCCCCCCTTCCCTCAACAACGACACTGACACTCATTCTGCTCTTGTTCTCTGATTATATTTGTCTCCCTTTGTATCTGAATCGTTTATAGGCAGAGGTGGTAGTAGATGGGTCTGTCATTCGGAGTGGAAGAAACCTTACTGCAGTTGCAGTTGATTTTCGGCTCAAGGACTCTGGGAAATTGGTCTACGCCTCTAATGCGACATTCTATCACATGCCTGTCGCAAATTTATGAGATCAAGACTCAAACCACTTTAAGTAGATACATTTAATAAACATGTTCAGCGGCTCCGGCTAATGTACGATGACAAATCATGAATATAGGCACAACTAGACGAATTTGAGACTGATAGCCTGTTTGGCTTCAAAAATCAGCTTGAGAAATGCTTTTTTTCAAAAGTACTTTTGGTGAAACGCAGTTTGTGTTTAACTAATTTACTTAAAAAACACTTTTGAGCAAGAATTAGTGTTTGGCCAATCTTTCAAAACTGTTTCTGCTTCTACTCAAAAGAACTTTTTTTTTCCTCTAAAAGCTTGGCCAAACACTTAACTTTGAAAAAAAAAAATGCTTTTGGTTTGGAGAAGCTAGGCCAAACAGGCTATGAGACTCTTATCTGTATCACCAAAGCAACAATTTACATCTCGAATTATCTCAAATTCCCTCATTATTAGGTTTGTTTGTGTTTCGTTTCAGTCCTTGTAACTAAATTTTGCTTGATGAAATACACAATTGAACCTCTGATTTATTGAAAGAGAATGAAGTGCAAATTCGTGTACATCAATCCTGTATTAGTTGTGTCCAACTGCTGTACCACTATTTGTACTGCAATAATGACAAGGAGATGACATAAAGTTACTTGGATTCAAAACGAGTGATGCAACTAATGGCATCCTTTACATAGGATACCTGATAGCAGTAAATGTCTCTTCTGATGAACACAGACTCAAGCCATGCCGCAATCATTTTGTCAAAGACCAAATCCCAAATGTTTCATTACTCCTCACACTCCAAAATATTTATATGCGTCTCGTCACCCCCGATATCTGGAGTTTACCTGGTACCTACAGTTCCGGTATCTGGAGTTTACCTGGTACCTATAGTTTGAAGTGTTAGATATATGAAATTTTACATTGGAAACCAAATGTCGAATTAGTAAAGCAGAATTTATAACAGAAACCAAACGTTGTATTTATAGTGCAGAGTTTCTACAATAAGACTATTTACAGCAACAGAACTACTTCTTAGTGATAACCATACAGAGAGTTGATTGGTCCAAATTCAATCTAATTTTCCAAAATCTAACATAGCCCAACATGAAGTCTTACCTTGGTTAAGTAGGATCTGGCAAAATTCATTCATTCTGGGCCACCTCCCTCGAGGATCAAACAAAATACAAGTTGAACCTAGTTAGATGACCCCTAATTATAGTGACTAATTTTGATCTTACCATAGGGAAAATTTTCAGATTAACCCCACCTTGATTCTATAGGTACCAGGTTAACTCTAATCACCAAAATTTGATAGATAAAAGATCACATTGAACCCTAATCTCCTATCGACCAATAAGCCACACCCTTGGATGCTCCTGATTTTAACCTAAACAGCTAAACTGAAGTGAGAATATCTCTAACTCAAGTAAATTTAAATTCCATACTTGACCTACTAGGACTGTTTAGGCTCTCATGCTTGATAAGCTAATTTGAACTTGCACAAATAATAAATGAATGTTTCCAGAATCTTATAAACTGATCTTCATTATATTGTGACATCAAGAACGACGAACAACGTTACCACAAGAAACGTGTTCTGATTTTCCCTATAGCCATACTAGTTCCTAGCTTCACTATCAGGTTGAGATTCCAAGAATATTGATTACTTTTGTGATTTAAATCTTGTATCACCTAAGAGACTCGAACTAAATACGGGTTGAAAGACCATAACAGCTTAACCACCATCATATGCCGTAAAATTAAAAAGAGTCACGTACTTCTTAGAATCTGGGAGAAACTGTCACTGGATCATGCCTCATGGGAAGATAGCATTAACAAATTCCTCAGCATTGAACGGTTGGAGGTCATCTACACCTTCCCCAACACCTACAAACTTTACAGGAATACCAAGCTCATCAACCACACTGACCTGCAAACATAAAAGAATGAGATCGTTTAACTAACTGCAATTTGTCAGATATTTGGAGAGAAAAATTAACCACAACAACAACAACAAAATCATAAAAAGTAAAACGAGCCAAGTTTGGAGAATTCAAATTATACCACACAGCCACCTCGAGCAGAACCATCAAGTTTAGTCAATATTAGGCCAGTGACTCCAACAACCTAGAGAAGAAGGCAATTTCATAAAGAACCTTGAACTAAGGTAACTTATAAAGGTTCAAAACAACAAGCTGACAAGTGTCATTACGTCATTAAACTCTCTCGCTTGAGGAAGCATATTTAAACCAGTAGTTCCATCCAGAACAAGCAAGATTTCCTGCAAAATTGCGATAAGTTTCTTGAAGTTATATAGTAGGTCTAGAAAGAATATTAGCACGGTAAATAGACTGAGACTGGATATAGATACATGGGATCTTCTAAAGAGAACTTATAAATTAATAACAATAACTAATAGAACTTAAGATAACTGGGAATAAAGTACTAAGTAGAATCTGCCAAATAAAATCTTATTTGTGAATGTTGAATATTCAGAAGAAAGAGTAGCAAGATGCTAATCTTATGTTCTCTACTGCTCCTCTGCATAAAATTATGCGAATTACGCCAATATTAGGCTTACAGACCTGCTCCACTCAAGACACCTTTCGTGATCTCCAATGTGAGACACATTTAAAGGTTCCCTCATGCAACACCCTAAAGGAAACAGAGAAGACAGACAAATACATAGCAAAATGAAACAACGAATATTATCTATAGATATCACTATTAAGGGACAAATGTCATTTTAATGAGATGAACTATATTATGTAGAAACAAAACAATGTCAAGGTGCGAATGCGGATAGTCTCAACACTTGAACCCTTTTCTGCAGACACTAGTTTGCATGGAAGTGCATTGCACATGGACAACTATTTAGGAATAAATTATTCAAAATAATTAGCAAAAAGTTCTTGAAAGCATTTCCGAATGTTTTTATACTTAAAATGGTTGAATAAGGAGCTGCATAGTAAGAAATTTGTTCAAATAATTGAAGGACTAGGACAATATAGACCAAAACCCCCACTGGTACTTCATTACATGCTATATGTTTTTTCAAATATGCATATACAATTGGTTACATCAGTTCAAAGTCTATTTACTGAAGAGGTAATAGGGACTCTATTGTACGCTTAAACACAAGTTTTCCAAAAGATGGGACAAGTCATAATGGAAGCTTGACAGTATAATTAAGAAAAGCGAAGCTGAAAAATTCAAGTGTAGTGTAACATACATTAGGTGCACCAGTAACAATTTTACTGACAACTTTCTTGCATGCCACCAATTCCTCCATCAAGCTATAGTTGGTGTGCAGACCTGGTGCAAAGTTTAATCTTCGTTACTCAGAGATACTCTCCAAGTGTGAATAAGAAAGCTGTTTTCATGTTCACAAAACTTACGGCCAGATGTGTCGCATAAAACAATATCGAAACCCTCTTCCTTTCCTCTTTTAACAGCCTGTGAAAGAACTACTCAGGAAGAACTTCAAGATCATTTAGTGAGAATATTTTAAAGTTTACATTGTCATTTGTATTTTGGTTATATCTAGCATTGCAAACACTTGCGGATTAAACATTGTAGTTTAGTACCTGATGATGCCTTAGCTTTCTTTTTTTCAGCAACAACAATCTCACAACCAGTCCTTTCAGCCCAAATTTCTAACTGATCACTAGCAGCTGCTCTAAATGTATCACCAGCTGCTAATAGTATCTACAAAGTTCACAGAAAGAAAGTGTGAGATGCAGGAGCTATCCTATCATGAGTAGAAGAAGAAAGATAATGCATCTAATTCAAATTACTTGACAAAGAGAAGAATGTTTGAGTGAGTTACTAGGAGTGCATAACAAATACGAATTTCCTTTGTGACTAAATATCAAAGGAGGGTAAAATAATGAGGCTTACACAATAAGAAAACATAAAGATGAATGGATCATAAGAAAACTAATTCCAACGCTGTCTTCAAGGCAGAGGGGAAGGATCATGAAATGTTTTAAGTGGTCAAAGTTAAATAGCTGAAAGCTTATCCCAAGATATATTTATTTGTAATGTGATGAAGGTCTGCACAAGGTTTGAAGGGAGTCATAGGAATGTATGCCTTCTTTCCGTCTTAACCAAGGTCTCCACAACTACTCCACTGAAATAATAAAGTTGGTTGCCCAAACCAACTCAACAACAATAACAAACCCAATCCCACAAGTGGGGTCTGGGGAGGGTAGTGCGTACGCAACCTTACCTCTACCTTGTGAAGGTAGAGAAAGTGAGAGACTGTTTCCGATAGACCAACATAAAAGCTTTCAACAATCTCTAGAGTTTAAGCTTGCCACAAAGATATACTTAAAATGCAATGCAAAACCTTGACCAACAAGAATATTGGTTATTATTGTTTCAAGCATAAAACTAATGCTCAGTGGAGAAATTTAACTGCAAATTTGTGTTAACTATGCAGTATTGGTCAATTCTAGTGATATGGGAAAATGGCTAGCACTAATAGATCCGCAGCACAGCAGACAGAAACGAGATAACAGCTTGCCTCACCTTAGCCCCTTCTTTCTTCAATCTATTCGCCAGCTTTCCTGCATTAGGAGAACAAGAGAAAAGCTCACAAGTTACTGCCACTGTTTCAATTCTTGAATTGGTGATGGACATAGCAGAAATCTTTGATCCTTTTACAAGCGTTATCACTATAAATGTTTTCTAGAGGATTATGGAAAAAAAATTTACAAGAAGTCTCAAACTATTTGACAAAAATGGATCTTGGAGAAATTACACTGCTGCCACAAACATACAACAGCTTGTCTACTTTTCCAACCAACAAACCATGATTATACAAAAATTACTTCCCTTACCAAGAGATGTTGTCTTTCCACCTCCATTGACGCCCACAATCATGATCACAGCTGGTTTCCTAGTACAGAAAAGCAAGTTCTAAATCTAAGTTCAGTCTACTAAAAAACAAGCATAAAATAAATGTAAAATTAAAATCTGTATTCTATAAAGCAGTTGAAACCTGAAGCCCAGACGGAGTTCTGTTTTAGGTGCCTTGCTAGTCAATAGATCCAAGATACTCTTCTTAAGAGCACTCTTCATACCGATACAATTGCAATCCACAATGTCAATGCGTCGATAAGCCAAGAAAAATGGTAAGTTAACAAACTAGCATTAAAATAAATGTGTAAAACTGCTTATTTTTTGTATAGAATTAGTTGTTATTAACAGTGGCGAAGCCAGAATTTTCGTTAAGGGGTGTCAAAATATATAAAAGTAAACATACCAGGAAATTAAGGGGAGTCAATACATAGTATATATACATATAATTTATTTTTTTACCTAGCTACACAGTTTATTTTTCCCGCAAAGCCCTTCCTATAAAGTGGCTCCGCCACTGGTCATTAATCTTTATGGTATTATACATATATCAGTGTGTTACAACAAAAATGAAAATATCAGCATAATTACTTTTATCTCACTTCCTGATTTGATTTTCCCCCCATATATATCCTCTCGCAAGCTCTCCACAATCTTTATGGTAATCTTCGGGCCAAAATCAGACACCAACAGAACCTGAAAC